TAGGTTTCAATAGTTGAAAGTTTATAAATAGAGGTCATGTATAAAAATATTGGATATCCAAATAAATGAATTATACTCTATTATTTTCTCTCTCAATCCTTCTTACCTTGCTATTCTCTTTTCTTTTTCTCTGTCTTCTTATTTTCATAATATATTCATATTTAATTCAGTCCATTGTTTTCATTACATTGTTATTTTTTTATATGAAAAGTTTTTGTTCTCAGACGAAAGAAAGCTGACTGGGAGTGGTTGATATTTTCTTTTTAATTCCAAGTCAATTTTTGTATCTAGTACAACTTTTTTTTAAATTTTTTTTGGATTTTAAAAATTACTAGTTAAACACATTAGCACAAGCTTGATAGAATCTTTGAACATGTTAGCAATCTCAACGTTGGTTGTGCTATATTAACATCCCTTTAAAAATAGAGAAATTAATATTGTAGATGAAAAAAATATAGAGACCTAAAATATATATATATATATATATATATATAAAAGAATTTAAATCAAAACTCAAGTAAAATATAAGAATCAAAAATAGTGTTTCTAATCAAATTTGTTATACAGCGTGTTTAATCTATCAAATCAATTTACTATAATATATCAAATGAGTTAAAAATTATAAAATGGGTTCACAAAAGAAATAGGCACTAACAACTTAAAATTATAATAAGAATCCATGACTTCCTACCACACTTTTAAAAAAGATAAGGATATGACTTAATTATTAGTAGTTTTTAATTTTTTTTTGAAATTTCAATTCAATTTAAAAGGAGTGGAGTAGAAATAATTTTAATGGTGAAAAGACTGAATTATTCTTCACTTGTTAATTTTGTTTAAGGTACAGAATCATTAGTTAATAATTTTTTTACTTAACTTGTTGATTTACTAATATAATGTATAAATTACATAAATTGACCTATCAATAATTATACAAGACTTAAACATCAGTTGTTCAATTACAAGTTGCAACATCAATTGTTAAATTGCTAACATTACTTGTTAATTTACTAACACTCATTGTATATTATTGACAGGTCTTGTAATTTACAACTACTGTTAGTAAATTAATAAATAAAGTTTTTAGATTAACAATTGATGTTCCTGCTTGTTTGATAACTGATACAATTTATAACTCGCATTGGTAAATTAATAAGTGAAGTAAAAAATTAATAATTAATAATTTTGCATCTCAAAAAAATTAATAAATGAACGCTACTTTAATCTTTTTATCATTAAAATTATTTTTACTTCAATTTTTTTAAACCAAACTGAAGTTTCAATTTTTTAAATCTATCAATAATTAAATCACATTCCTTATCCTTCAAATTCTCCAATAAAAAAAACCTACGTCTATAAATAGAGGACGTGTTGTACCAGAAAGTAACTAATAAATCTGAAATTTTATATAATTATATTTGTATTCGTTTCATTTATTTATTTTAGACAAAATAAAACTGAAAATATCCATGTTTTGCTTCGGTAGCCATCTTGTGACTAAGCCAATTGTTTCCAAATATCGTAGAAGTTTGATCAATTCAAAGAGGCCTCAAGTTCGGCCCAAAATTGTCCATCGTCAACTTATACGATGTTCCTTCTACTTTTTTAAAACAAAATATCTCAGACTAAATAAATTAATCAATTTTCTGGTTAAAAATAAATAAATAATCAATTTACTATTAGATTATCATTTTAAAATTTTAATATGGAAGTGAGCAATACATGTGTGTGTTTGTGTCATCCAACTTAAACAAAAGGACTATATAAAAATGGAGCAGGTAATCTATTTTTGCTCGGTAACATAGTTGAAATAAAATTAGTCTCAATCTAGGGTGATAATATATATTAAAGTATTTAAAATTTAAAATTTAAATATTATTATAATAATCAAAAATTTTATTTTATTTTTATATAAAAAAGTAAAAGGGACGTTGTATACTTGTATTTTGTTTAAAAATAATTAATTGGAATGTATATACCATGAACCAAAAAAAGAAATTATTAATGTGGAGTAGCACGAGCAAAAAATTATTCTCACGTTTCCGAGGAATCTTCGTGCCTTCTTGGGTTGTTTCAGTATTTGTGCTTTTAATAACTTCCCTTCACATTTAACAAAATAACAATACATTACCAAAAAGTTAACAAGAACATCTCGTGCTTGAATCAATGAGTAAGAGACAATTTAATTAAAGATCTCGAGTCTGAATTTTAGATATAAAGTAGTGATTAAACTTTTGGTGAAAGACATGTTTAAAAAAAAAATATCCATAAGCTATTGACAAAATTAATTTGGATCTGACATGGAATATTAAAGCTCATGAAAACAAATAACAATTAAATAATAGAACGAACAAAAGTGAGAAGAGCCATGACACTCGTGTGAATTTAACTTTCTTTGCTCTTTATTCTCAGGCCTCTTTTTGAGGAGAATCGCATTTGAAGCCTTCATAAGCAAAATAGTTATACTGCAGACTTTTCAATTTTGAAATAGTCATTCAGGCCCAATAACCCTCTTTACAAATAAAATTTTCACTGAAAATACTAAAATACCCTAACTTTGAAGTATAAGTTCATATATTTACTATCAAATGTTCACTTATTCATAAATAAAAGTTCAAATATTCACAATAACAAGTTTACGTGTTCACTTATACGCTAATAGCATAGGTTCAAATATTTTCAGAAATAATTTCACATATTTATAATTATAACTTCACATATTTATAACCATATACTTATATATATATATATATATATATTTATGTTCACAATTAGTGAGTATGTAAACCTATTGTTATAAATATGTAAACACATACTTGTGTTAGGGCTATTTTTGTCTTTTTAGCAGAAATCTTATTCATAAAAAGAGCCCTTGGCCTAAACAATTATTTCATAATTGAAAGAGCATGCAATGGTATTACTTTATTTTTGAAGGTCCTAAGTGTAATTCTCCCTCCTTTTTATTAAACAAAAGATAGTTTATCAAGATTCTCAATGAATAATATTTTATGATTATGCACGCATTTTTTTGACATGATTATATGATGTGAGATTTCTTCTTTTGAGAATGTTAAATTTATGTTTTAATTTCATATATAGTGGATAAAATTTAACTCTAATTGTCTGCTCCATTCTAGTTGCATGTATAATAAAGTAAACAAATAAATAATTTCATAAATTTTAGATTTAGTAACATCATAGACCTTAAATTTATTTACAATAAAAATTATTTTTTCAATTTTTAAAAATAGCACACTCTAACCTATACTTTTAACAAAAATTAACTTTAGCTATTAGTTAATTAAGAAATGACAAAAAAGAATAAAAAAATTTAAAAAAGACTTTTAACTCTTATATGTGTAGTAACCGAAAATATTAGAATTTTTTAAAAAATAAAAAATAAAATCCCATATCATGTCAAATTCCAAACTCATGAAAAAAAAAATTAAATATAAATAATTGATAGTTGCTATTTAGAGGGAAGTACGAACACAAAATTCAACAACTTTCGAGGTGACGTACCTTATGCATGAACCATAATTGGGAATCTTCGTTCGTTCCTTGTTGGAGTGTTGTCGCTTCTCTGCTTTTATTCTTCGTTATCGATCAAAATAACAATAAATTAAAACAAAAAGCAACAAAAAATTAAACCAAAATGAATAAAGGGGCTTGCCCTTGTCAATCAGCGTTTCATGGTCCTTTTGGTATTATTTAAAATCATGAAGCTAATCAGTTAGTTCCAAGCCCATTAACTCAACGTTTCTCTCCCATATTCCCTCCCCATTCGCCAAAAAAAAAAAAGGCAAAAAGGAAACCATAAGCCTGATTAAAAGTGCACTAAATACCCATCTTAAATTTAATTGTATTATAAATAGCTGGTAATTTGGGCACATGAATAAGCCTGAAGAATCTAAGCCAAATCCGAACCTCAATGAATTTAGTTTGAATACTCAGATTTTTTTATTAATAAAATAAAATTAAAACTAGATAAAATTTGAAAAATATTAATTTTTTAACATAAAAATTGAAATTGGCTAATAAAATAATATTTAACAATTCGGATATTTAAACTAGCCCAAATAAATTTAAAAGTTTGATGTGTTAAGGTCAAGTTTGTTTACATGAACTTTTTTATATGTTTAAGTATTTTAAATATAATATAAATAAGTCTAGCATGGATTGAGCCCTGTTTAAACAACCTCACTTTATCTAAATTACCAGCTCTAATGTTATACACTTTCTATTAACATCTTCCCCAAATTTTTCACAAACTAGGAACAAAAACTTTTACAAATATATATATTTGGTGAGATTAAAATCATCTTTCGCCCATCATAATAGAAACTAAATCTCCCTCAAAATAGATAGTCTACAAAGGACAAATCCTTTTCAATTAGGTTTGTTTTCGAAAATCAAATTACTAAGTATCAGTTTACTGAATGAGAATGAGAGTTCTTGTCCCTCACCCATAATGTAAAGCCAGTGTACTGCGGGTAACCACACCAATTTTTTAACTGCCATAATAATTTCTAACCACTGTAAAATCCTATTTTCACTCCAATTGGTTATAGTTGAATTGATGTCAGCCAAGTCGGAGTAACGCTTAAGAGCTTTTTTTTTTTTTTTTGGGGGTGGAGAGAAGCAATGCTTGACTCCAAGTTGAGTGTTGCTACACGCAGAGACTTAACCATACAGTGAATAGCCTTATCAGATGAAGCAATCAATTGCCACATGACATATTTATTTTCTTTGAAATAAATCCAAAAGAGCCTATCTATCACATTCCCATGATTAAAAACTACAGTATATAATGTGTACGTAACAAAAGCTCCGAAAAGAAAACTCAATCTTACTCTCTTCTTCTTGTGTAAAGTAACACACAGAATATGTACTTTTACTTGGGTTGTCTCTTTACAGAAGAAAGCCTCTCGCATTAGGTGTTTGTTGAGCTACTTATTTGAAGTACTTAACCTCTTCTCACAAGGTAAATCAAATCAACTCAATCTACTTGGGATTGCTTCACCACTTAACCATTCCATAGTTCCCTTTCTCTGCACTCAAAGAACAAACCACTTCACAAACTTATACCCAAATTGATCCTTCCTCTTCCTTCCACATCCTCACTAGCTGCTTCCCCTCCTTCTTCTCTCGACTTGTGTTCTTCTCACGGAACAGAACATGTCCTTTCAGGCACAGCCTCAGCAGCCAGTTCAGGTGTACCCCATCAGTGTCACAAACCAGCCACCTTCCCATCATTCCAATGGATCTTTTGGGGCAGTTTTCATTGTCCTCGCTGTCATTTTAGTCATTTCTCTCATTGCTTGCTTTCTCGGTCGCCTCTGCAGCCGCCGCCGTCCCGGCCCCGAGAGCCATGGTGGTGGTCATAGCCATAAGCCCTTCAAGCAGCAAAACATGAATCATAATCACGACCAGAATCAGAACCAAAACCATCTTTTTCAACCCAATGAGGGTGATGTTGAACTTGGGTTCGACAAGAGAATCCCAACCACCAAACCCAATGGACCTGGGCATGGGCCTGGCGGGCGTGGGCTCGGCTACGGAGGCAGAGGACCCAGGCCACTTGTCTTTGGTAGTGGCGGTGGCCGTGGTGGCAGTGAAGAGAAGGGCTTTGAGATGAATGGGGGAAAAGGAAGTCTTAGAGGCCACGGGCACGGCCAAGGGCACGGGCACGGGCACGGGCACGGGCATGATAGTCCTTGAAGGTTTACCTTGTGAATGAATAACATAATTGTTCCTATCATGTAATTGGTTTTCTATTCAAGTTTCTATGTTCTTCTAGTGTTTTAGATTTGAACCGAAAGTTTATCTGCTTTGGTGTGATTTATCTGAATATATATATATATATATATAAAGGAAGCTTACTTTTATACATCTAGCAAGTTAGGATCCAATCATCTTAAGAAGAGTGTTTGACCCATTTTATGAATTGTATGGTTGTTCATGGTGTGATATGAGAGTCTCTTGGCTTTGTTTTTTATGCATGAAAGTATGTGTCACTGTTATTGATTTTATGCAGAAGATGATTTTGGTCATTTGATAAATATGTGACACTATTGGATGCAGATATTTGAAGAAAATAATATCAAGTGAGGTTTATTTAGGGGAAAATTGAAGAAAAGGACCTATTAAACAAACTAATTGAAAAAAGGACTTAACTCGCGGCACATAGAACAAAAGTGCAGGACCATGGAAGATAAAATGCAGGTTGGAGAAGGAAAATAGCAGATTTTGGATTTGGTCCTTTTCCCCCAATTAATTTGCCTATTTAGTCCTTTTCCACAATTTTCCCGAGTATTTACCAGTCTCTTCTTTATGGGAGTAAAAATTTTCATACTGTGTTCGTTTTGTTTTTGTTTTTTTAGTCAAAGAGCAAATTACATTAATGAAAACATAAAACGATTCAACAAAGCCTAAGATATTGATATTAGTGAGCTAATATCCTAAGCCCATAAACAAAAAGAAAAGGCAGAAAACAAAAAGAAAACAGACAAACCCAAAAGAGACCTACAGGAACAAAGAAGAAAGATAAAAAATATAACGAAGTAAATGGAAGGACACAACAACAACGATCCTCCAACTTAACAAATCCACCTAAAAGCGAACCCTTGATAGTGACATGCTTCCTCCGTCTTTATATATATAAAACAAAAAAATTATATCACAATTAAAAAAAATAAATTAACTATAATAATTATGTTTGAAAATAAAAAAATTAAATTAAAATATTTTATATTAATCAACATAAATATATATTAATTATTTTTTATTAATATAAATTATGAGGTGCAATTTAAAAAATGTGTAATAAATGTTTATTGATATATGTAATTTTGCTTATATATAAAAACAAGTAAAAAGTTATATTTTTTTTACAAATAGAAATGAAGTAGTATTGTTAGAAAACGTGTTGGGATAATAACATATTTTATATGTTTTTTACTATGTTAATGAAGGTGGAGTTATTTCATGGGTTATTTTTATTTCCAAACACTCTGAAGCAAACAAGTCTTAAAATTATCCACCTAAAAACTGTTCCAAATAAATAAGCCCTTGCCTTTGTCTCTCTCTCTACACACACACAGAGAGGCAATTATGTTATGAAAATATTTTCTATGCCTTGAGGTAAATTTAAAAATAAAATAAAATAATAAAAATGATTTTATGATTAAAAAAGTGATATTTACACATTTACTTTAAAATTAAAAAATAAAATATGTATAAAAAACAAATAAAATATCACACTACCAAATTACAATAAATAATATAATAAATATTAAGTATATCTTGGATGTTTATAATAAATTAACAAAATATAAGCATTGATCCTTAAGCTTTGTTTTTTTTTGGTTGTTGTCCGTAGTCCATTAAATTTAATTAATGGTAATCTTTATATTTTTAAATAAAATGATAAGAAGTAAGAACTTAACTTTGTTGGGGTGCACACAAACTCCGATAATTGTTTTGGTAATTATGATGAGTTTGATAAAAAATGAGTACAAGAGAAAAAATAAAAGGGGATTGAGGAAGAAAATGGACAAAGATTTTGAAGAATGGGTACTAACCTTTCTACTATAGTCGTCTCATTCTTTTTTCCTCTGAAATTTCCCCCATCGCTTGTTTAACGATTTTGATTTAATCCCCTTTGGTTTTTTTTTTTGTATGACTTCTGCTCATTTTTTACTCAACACATCATAATTTTAACATGTTAATACAAGAAATAATATAATCTATATACACATAAACTACAATTAAGTCTTTATAGAGATATATTTCAAATTATAGTAACTAATGTTGTAGGCGGACTAAAGGATTAAGAACAAGAAAAATATGGAGATTAATAGCAAAACATGTTAAAAGTATAGGCATCTATAATTGCATTTTCTCTAATAAATTCCTCCCATTAAGCTGCCACTCTGATATAGTGTTTAAATATTATCAAGGCCACGCAATAATGTAGGGTAGAGAGATTCACCCGAGGCTAACTTGGTTGGGGTGAGTGTGAGATGTAGATACAGATTTTAGAGTTTTAATATTTTTAGTCAAAAAGAAAAGAAGACTAGCTAGGTTGAATATGCAATATACTACATACACAATCACACATTTTGGCAATTTCTTTAATCATGATCGAAGTAGTAATGTGGGCATTATTGTACTAACAAGTTACAAGGGATAATGATATGTGAAAAAAAAAAAAATTCACTGAATCAAGATCTAATAAACAGCATTTTAAGAAATCAATATATTCCATAATTTCACATAAAAAAAATGTAAATACTACTCCATAATTCCAAATCAAAATCCATGTTCCAAAAATCTACAACATAAAAGTACAAGTCTCCAACTTGAAATATAAAGGGTTAATGGGTATGTAAGAGCCTGAACTCTTACTCGAAAATTACTCAGGACTCTGAACTCTTAAAATATATAAAATAAACCCTAAATTTTTAAATTTATAGTAAAATAAATCCTGACCGTTAACTTTTTTAACACCGTTACTATTAACATGGGTATTGTAACAGTTAGAGTTAAATTCATAAAAAAATAAACTTTAAACAATATCTGCGTAGATAGTAATGGTGTTAAAAATTAACGATTATGGTTTATTTTGTTATAAATTTAAAAGTTTAGAGTTTATTTTGCATATTTTAAAAATTCAGGGTTTAAGGTGATTTTTGAGCAATAATTCAGAGTTATTTATTCATTAATCCAAATATAAATTTTACTCTAAGTCTTGACAAGTTGACTTTCCCTTTGCCTCATAATATCAATCTATATCAATATACATACATATATATATATATATATATGTATGTATATATATATATATATATATATATATATATATATAAACCAAAAATTATGAAAAAAAATCAATGTGTAAATTTTAATTCTCTTTCTTTGTTCATAATAGACTTTTTTAAACTTTTAACGAAAGGCCTTTTTCTTACATTTTTTAAGAAAATGACTTTGATCTGATTTATCCATATTAATTTCTGTTCATATTATTCTATATTAATATTTAATAATTATAAAAAAAAATGTACTAAACACTTGTTGAACTAACTTTTCATTCATACATTTATACTAAATGAATAATTAATATTCATTATTTCATTATTTTTTTTAATTTCTAGTTCAAATTTTGTTATTTTATTAATTTTATTTGTTTTTATTTATTAATTCTCAATTTCATTTTAATATTTTATTAAAATATAAAATATTATTTTATTAAAATATAAGATTTCAATATTGATTATTTATTGAAAGTAATAATTATGGAAATTCATACTATAAAATATTAAAATTAATTAAATATTGAATATTATATTGTATTACATACGTATAATTTACACTCACACATATAGAGCATGACCAAATGGGTAAGGTAGCATGCCTAGCCCAATGTCCAGACCGGCTTGAACATGCTAATTTTTTTTTAGCTTGGTTTGGCAATTTTTTGTCGAGCTAGGGTAGGTATACCGGATATATAGGCTGCATGAACACCCCTAAAATATTTCGAGAAAAGTAATTGACAACGTAAAGGATTTATGGAGTAATTTAGCACATAGTCTTTTAAAATCAGTATAATGTTACCTAATTTTAACAGAGATCCAATATTAATTCTTAGCATAGGTTGATAGACTTTTATGGCTTTCTTTTATACCTAGTTACTCCTATAATTGCTCTTTCACGAATACTTTTGAAAGCAACATTGAGTCAAACATCATAATAAAAATATCTCTCTAACTTGCACTAACGAATAACGATCAACGTTAGGCTTCTATTACAATTAGATAGTGATACACTAATTTTAAAAGCTTATTAATGCTAGATTGCTCTATACTTTTTTTCACAGTACTAATTGCTTCTTGCAAATTGAGGGGCAAAATACACTCTAAGCTAATAATAATAGTAATGAGGTAAAACCTCATGCTTCTAACAATTATTCTCTTTTCTCTGACATATTGTAACGGCACTCTCTTGCGATTTTCACTAGGCATTCGCTCTACTTTTCGCAAATATATGCTGTACCAGCAGCAGCACTCTTCAAAACATACACAAGTGGAAATCGAAATATATGAATTATTAAAAATAAAAAAGAATTATTCCCCACAAACAATCATCTCCCATGTGACACATGACGCTTTGATTTACTTTATCTTTAACGGATTTGGGCTAAGCTAACCATGAATTAACGGACACGAACATATCTGAAGGTAATTTTTTTCCTGCACTAGAGTATCAAACAAGTAGATTTTCGGTGAAAAAAAAAGGAAAAATAAATGAATAAAAAGTAAATGAATAAAGGAATGTGGATCAGACTGAGCAGTTAAGGGTTGCTTTCGCTGCAGCTTCTGGACTGTGAAGCATTTTGGACAGTAGGAGCAAAAAAAAGCGTAAAGAGAGTCAAAAACTGCTTTCTGGGGGTGTAAGAGTAAGATTCCCACTGCAAAAGATACGATTCTGATTAGAATGATACAATTACAGCATACCCTTTTCCTTTCTCCAACCATATATTGGAAAGGACGAATTGGTTAGCCTTGTCGTGTACCATGTGCTTCAAATCGCCCTTACATTACACAAACACAGACACTGATATATATAAATATATATATATATATATATATAGAGAGAGAGAGAGAGAGAGCAAACATGAAGCATGTTTTTTTGCTTCTCCATCGCAGAACAAAAGGCAAAATTTGCAGTATTAGGAGACACAGAAATGACAGGCTTGGATGCAGCAGCAGTGGAGGGATTCAGAACCTTGACTGAGACTAAAGCTTGGGACTATATTGTAGTATGGAAGTATGGCGATGATCCTACAAGGTAGGTAACTACTATTACAAACAGTGAAATGAAGCAAACCCATTTCTTAAACCAGTTGGTTCCATTGAAAAATCTGACCTTTCTTAATCCTCATCATCATCTTCATCTTCTTCTGTAGGTTTATCGAGTGGATGGACTGCTGTTGTGTTGGAGGATATCGTGGAAGCAACGAGGTGAAGACCGAAGAGGAATGTAGACTGAATCGAAGATGTAGAGATACTCACTATCAGCATCCAGTGAGAACGAAGGCTTGTGAGGCTCTTGCTCAGCTTCCTTATACAATGCCACTCTATTCTGGGTATTAACTCCTTCTGAAATTTTGGTTCTGGTTTTGCTTATTCTTTACACAAGTAAAATCACTAATGGGGTAATGATTTGATTCAGTGTTCATGGAGATGTGGCAATATCAAAACAACCTCAGTGGCTTACCCAGGTAAGTCTTCAGAATTCAAATATGATGTTAGGAAGAACAAACTAATATGTACATTATCAGCACATGATTCCGGTAATGAGGCTTATTTCTGGGAGTAAGATGTTGACCTAAGTAGAAGATAACCTGTTTGATTCCCCCCCCTCCCCTCTCTTGGTAGCTGACATATTGCTATTCTTTTCCATTTCATCTGAAAATTGTCAAATTGATAAAATTTTCATGGCTTGTGAATATTATATATTCATATGTTATGTAAAATCTATCTGAAAAAAGCAAAATTATGACAGGATTCAACTGGAACTCAAGTTTTGGTTCCTATTACTGGTGGCATTATAGAGCTCTTCACATCAGAGATTGTAAGATCTATGTGTCTTGATACTTTACTTTCATCAGCATTCTATCCGAAAGTTCAAACGTTAAACTATTAAACCTTCATCACAGGTAGCAAAAGATTCAAGGATAATAGAATTGATAACTGCACGTTGCTGTCTCTCTATGATGATCAAGGAAGCCATCTCTGAACATCCACCATTGGATGCATACCGTCCACAAAGCTTAATTTCTAGCTTACATGCATCTGCAGGAGAGCAGTGCAGGTCTCATCCAAGCATTGAAGGATCCTCCAGTGGATCAAATCCTTCCAATGAAACTTCAAAAGAGCACCAAAGAGGTTTGGATTTCCAGTGTGGTGGCACTCTAGAAGATAAACCAGACCTGGTCAACAGACCTTATGGGGAAGGCTATACATCTAAAAATCTTGTCACAGAGAGGAATAGGAGGAGCAGGATCAAAGATGGGCTATATGCTCTACGAGCTTTGGTCCCAAAGATAAGCAAGGTACATAGATAAATTATGTGACTCAAAACTGTGTGTGTGTGAACCATGTTATTGAATCTCCTTCATCTATTTCAGTATCTAATCTGCTGATTTTTTTTCTGGCAGATGGATAGGGCATCCATTGTTGCAGATGCCATTGATTATATAAAGGAGCTGCAGGGACAAGAAAAAGGACTTAGAGATGAGATGACAGCTTCGGAAGGAGAGGATCATGAAAGGAACAAACCACAGTCCAGGAGGCCAATAGTGAAGGAACAAGGAGGGACTAGAAGTTCCTCTAATTGCACAAAAAGGACCCAGACGGAGGTACACAAGATAGAAACAGCTTGAATTCTGCTCCACTGCTTTTTCAAAGCCGTGAACGAAACTATGCTTTAGAGACTGACTGAATTTTTGTCCAACATGTTTTTAGGTGCAGGTTGAAGTGAACCAGATTGGGAAGAGAGAATTTCTTGTGAAGATACACTGTGAGAAGAAGAGAGGAGGGTTTGCTAAATTGATGGAGGCTATTCATTTGTTTGGACTTCAGGTAACTAATGCTAATGTGAACACAGTTGGTGAAAAAGTCATGAACATTCTGACTGTTAAGGTGAGGGTCTAAGAAATTGAAGCCAACACTAATTAGTGAATTTGCTGCTATATTGGTCAAAGGATTCCATGTTTAAACACTTCATCACACATTTGATTAGGCATTTTTTTCCATACACAGGCAAACAAGCTTGATGTTCACCCAGACAAACTTAGAGAGTATTTAACAAAGCAAGCTGGTTCTCAGGAAAGAGGAGCTGATGTTGAGCTCAAGAAAGCTTAGAGATCCTTTAAGCAATTGTCAATGCCTCTTGCATGAAAGTTTCAGCTAGTTAACAACTAGTTAGTTATGTGTAAATCACCATACATACTGTAGTTAAATGAAAAAAGTTGAGATCGAAGCGTGTATAGTATATCAACATTTTATTGTGGTGGCAACTATGAATTTTGTTGTGAGGGACTATGGTAATTACTTGCAAGTACTCTATTAGAAGTCCATGAAGAAAGATTATATGACACTAACATGACTTACCGGCCTCTCTCTATAATAGCAAGATTACATGATTAATCAGCCTGATCCAGCATCACAATATATCATAATATAAATGCCATGTAGGAGGTCTCAATAAATGAATAAGAGACGTCTATTGATACAAGTAATAGAATGGTAACCTCAACAAGTTTGTGTTTTAAGAAGCCTGTGAACATCCCGAGTATTTGAAAAACAGGGGACAATAAAATTTGATGGAAGCGAGGAAAGAAGCAAATGATGGTTCGACGTTCAAGCAAAGGCAGTCTTATGTCCCATTTCGTCGGCCTTCCTTCGTCGTGGGCTGAAACAAATGCTTTCCCAAACCAAAAACAACAGAGTAATTTCAGAGAAGGTGAAAAATTTGGCCTTTGGAAGAAGCACAAGAAGAGTTTCAAGCTTTTCAGTATTCTGAGTGCTGCTATTCTCCATTTCCTCACATGAATATGCTCATATTACTACTATGTGTGCGCCCTCATATTTGCCCCCTACTAAGTCCTTTTACTTGCATTGAAAGCTCGGGACTCTGACTCGCCACTTGAAGCACCCGTGAGCCATGTATGTTGTCCAGAGAACTCTGCTGAAGAAGAGTAATTTCCGCTGTCCCTATCAAATTCAGATTCACTACAGCTACCAATGGCCATCTTCCTGAATTTCATAATAGCATCTTCACTATAGTGGCCGGCATCATAAATAGTGCTCTGACCATATTTAACCCCATTTGATAAATCACATGATTCATCTTGACTATCTAATGCTCTTTCCACCTGATAAAAACCAATAGAGAGGTTAACTTGACATTCATTTCACTTAAAGGAGCTGACTTAAAAAATGCTAGAGAATGAAGCAATTGTGTCAAAAGACAGTTTATGTACACCAAAAATTGCTGTTTCTTAGTATTACCTGAATCATACGAGGCCGTTTAGGAGCAGAGTGGCGAACACAAGCTGCGGCAGCTTCAATCATTCGAAACATCTCATTCTCCACAAATTGCATGTTAAGCCTTTTGTCCACTAATTCAGTGAAGTCTCGGGTCTCAATAGCATGATTCAGAAGTGGACGAGCCTGCAGATAATGACAACATTAAATTTCAAGGTATGTTAACCTGGATCACAAGAAACCATAACTGCATTGAGAAGTTGAATGAGGCAAGCCTGATGGTCTTAAAAAGCAAATGAGGAAAATGGAAAACTCAAATTGATTGAGTCGGCACAGGGAACTCTAGAATACCATATTGGATTGAAGACAATACGGGAACATTGTAATTTCAAGCAACAGTAAAGAATGATGGACATGTCTGTGAGTTCCTAGACCCTTTCCATTGCTTTTCAAAAGAAAATTTTAAGAGTGTGTCTTAAACTTCATTTTTGTAAGCCGCCAGATTTTTAATTAGTCCCCTGAATATAAATTCCACAAAAAGGGGGGGGGGGAAGATTACTTGGATATATTTCTGATATCTTAAAATGGAATCAACAGAAATATATCTTTTTACTAATTTCACATGATCTAATTGGTTAGTGGATTTGAAAGCGTTTCCTTAAACATACTTGCAGACAAAATATTAGTTTGCCGCGAATCACAAATTAAAGCATCACCTATATCGAAATTGAAACAGGGTATCTACAAGAAATAAGCTTTTGTGACAATAGCCATATTACATGAGTCACTCTTGGCATCTGTTCGCAAAAAACTAAATGCCAAAGAACCAAATAATCACAATATCAGGACAATGATTGAAAACGGACGTTATTTAATGTTATTTATTATACCCAAAAAAAAATCCATTTTCACTCCTATAAAGTAGTCTTACGTACCAAATGGATAGCAGAGACAGGGAAAAAGAATATGAAAACAAAAATTTCAAAATTTACTTGATAAAGTAAATGGAAGGTTCATGCATACCCATTCAACCAAACTCTCTTCTCCCACTGGCCGAGTTTGATCAACAGGTTTCCTCCCTGTTATAAGTTCAAGGAGGACAACTCCGAAGGAGAAAACATCTGATCTATCGGTCAATTTTCCACTGGTTGCATACTCTGGAGCCAAGTACCTGCAAAGTGGATGAGAAAATATCAGTTCTATCCGGCAATTTTCCACTGGCTGCATACATAGGCATTACCAAAGTACGTTTTCTATCCATTATACCCCTTCGCAGACAAATTTACTCGGAATACACCTTAAAGGTGGTTTCATAACCCTAAAAGACAAGCCAGCTTACATAAGTCCATCCTGCCTTCTACAGTGCAGTGATGGATTAATTAATTAATTGTGATCATAAACCATGACAATAATCTAACTCTGGCTGGTGAGTAATGAACATCTCCAGACCAAAGCTTAAAAAGAAGTCCACCAATTCTTTTCCATATGATCGTAAATAAGGGGATCTTTTTCTTTCTTCCGTCCTGGAAGGCATATCCTAATGAAAGCTAACGCCAGAATTTACGGCTTTATGTTCAGACAAATAAAACCTACCCAAAAGTCCCCACAACCCGAGTTGATACGTGCGTGTTAGCATCGTCGTGTAGCCTAGCAAGTCCAAAGTCTGCAACCTGTGTTAAAACAACGTCAAACTAGAACCAGGAATAGCACATTTTGGTTAAAAACAAAAACAGAAAACAGAAAACAGAAAACAAAAGTATTCACAAGCATACCTTTGCTTCAAACGCATTATCCAAAAGTATGTTCGCTGACTTAATATCTCTGTGGATAATTTTTGGGTTGCCTGGAAATAGTAAAATATGTAGCAACTTTTAAAAGCTCGCAGTTGCCATGAGCAAGGACAAATTGACGTAAAACATGAAAGATTAGTGATCATTTAACTTGTGCGTGAAATACATATACAAAACACAGTCAATTTCACTCTGCTTTTGTTTTAACGAAACAAACAATGAATATGAAAGTGGTCTTAGAATTGATGAAAAACGTGGAGTGGAGAGAAGATATAAAGTGATTCAACAATGAACACCTGGAATGTGAAACGTACAATTTGAAATGCTAAATCTTGAAGGCAAGTCATTTTTGAATGATATAATACCAGTATAAAATTGCTGATCTACTAATGCTAACATGCTTTTCTAAGTGTGTCGTCAAACATCATGCGCAGCTAAGAGATAACGTTGTTGTAATGAAGTTATCAAATTGTTTGCCCCGAACTACATGAAGAGGTTGTAGCCTGAGCGCTTTCAGAAAATACAATATCATAAAAATATAATTATTTACAGTCAAGCAATATATAGAGTTTTCTCAGTTATAGACATTAATCCCTACAATTAAAATCCGTTAATTTCAGAATGTAATCACGTTACAGCTGTCTGCTGAGATGGTTGACAAATGATGACCAGGTTTTGACTTAGAGTATACATGGATTAAAATTGCCATGTAGCTTTAAAAAAATAGAGTAGATAATTCGGGCAGATTGAGCTTATTTGGATTGGGCTTATTTTAATCGAACTTAAAATATTCTATCCTCTTAAAAAAACTCATATAGTCAAGCTCAATCCTAATTTTTTTCAATTGGGTTCGGGATGGTTGATCAGGCTTAACTAAAATTAATAACTTTATGTACATATAAATTTAGAAATTTCAGTGATTGGGCTTATTCAAATCAAGTTTAAAATATACTACTCTCTTTAAAAAAAAACTCATACAGTTAAATCCAACCCTAACTTTTTTTTGGGCGGGCTCTAATTGGCTTGTCAGGTTTAATCCAGATTACTGGCTTCGTAAAAAGGGAGGACAATTTTAATCCCATTTTCACGTGATATTCTAACATAACCCTCGTCCTCTCTTCCAAAACCCTCAACCAACAACTTTAACCCATCCCTTTCTTCTCCAGCATTCGGTCTCTGCAACTTCAATCGTCAAATTATAATTTGCTTCATACACTTCCCCTCACTGAATTCTCTCCAATCCAAAATGGCCTCGTGAACTTCAATCCTCAAGTTATAATTTTGGAACCGCCCCCTCTTTGAAGAAGCCCAATTGCTCTTATTCCAAAACTCTCTCTGGGTCAGAAGCTCGACGATTCACTTCCCTTCTTGGGTTCCCTTACTCAGCATTTCTCAAGCTTAAGAGCGAAACCATTACCAGGAGGAAGTTGTAAGTAGCAAAAATCAGAGAAAGTAGTGAATATGTACTTGGGGACCGCGAATTTTCCGCCATGAAAGGGGGAAAGCAGACCATCACAACCAACGCCGAGGATCAGAGGACGACGCAATCCGTCGTGGCTTATACGAAGAACGGTGATAAACTTGTTAGGATGATTGCGAAGCGGCAGGCGGTCGTGAAACCAGAGAAACCCCTTTTTTCGGTGAAGAGATTCACTGGGATAAAGATGTCCGAGGTGGACGAAGAATCGAAGCAGGTTCGTACAACGTGGTAGGGGATGAAAATGGTTTGGTGAAACTTGAGCACCAGACATGAAATTAGGTTTCTGATCGCTTTTTTCCCGACCCTTTTTATTCTATGTGGCAGTTTTAATCCACGTATACGCTGAGTCAGAGCCTAATATCAGCCATCTCAGCAGCAATTAACACCCTTCCACAAGAAATTCTTTGGATACTTACTTCCAGTGGCCATATGATTTATTGTTATTCCAATCAGAATGCTTTAAATTATTTAAATAAATATTATATAATATTATTTTAATTAATTTTATTTTTATAATAGAATGTACGTTTAATTTTTTTTTACTTTTTTTATTTATTATTATTAATGACAAAATTAATTTATATTTAATGTCATCTAAATATTATGCTTTTATTAGACTAATCACACAGCACATCCTATTTATATAAAAATTTCTCCTATTGCACTTAGAAAGACTGATTTTAATCAAAAAACTAACGTTTATAACTGAGAAAAGATTCAATAAAAAGGGAAAAAAAACTACAGAAAGTTAATTAAAAATTGGATGCAACTATAAGAATTAGAGGATTAATTGTCTATGTATATGTTTGCTTACAGGGATAAGTTTTGTAAGTTCGTTGACATCAAGCAAAAGAAATCATCAGATGGTGAGAAGTTCCCTAAATCGTACAGGCAAAAGTAGTCGTTCTAATGAAACGGCAAATCATGAAAATATGATTTGTGATTCACTTTAAGAACTTCGAACAAATTAACCAATAAATTGAATGCAAGGTGTGTATATATATATATATATATACTTACAGTCTTCATGCAAATATGCTAAGCCTTTTGCAGAGCCAATTGCAATCTTCATCCTCATGTTCCAATCTAAGACTTTCACTCCTCTGGCTGTCAGCAGATACAAATAATCCCGCAAATGAGAATCAAGTTATAAATAGAGGAAATATAAAAAAGTTTTATCTATGGAGTAGACAAGCCAAAAAAAAAAAAACTCACATTACCATGCAAGTGATATTCTAGAGTTTTATTGGGAAGGAACTCGTAAATAAGAACTCTTCGGTGATCGGCTATGCAATAACCAACTAACGATACCAAATGCCGATGATGAACACGGCTGATAATCTCAACCTCTGCCCTAAATTCCCGTTCACCTTGGCCGCTGCCAGCCTTAAGCTGCTTCACAGCCACTTGTTTACCATCTGAAAGCCATCCCTTGTATACACATCCAAATCCCCCCTCCCCTACAATATTTTCACTAGAAAATCTTTGAGTTATCTCTGTAATCTGCTCATAGCTAAAAGATATCTGACCATTACTCCAGGGCGAGTCTGGAGTCCCAAAATGTTGTACTGCTCCTGCTTTACCCCCATTTCCCTTGTTGGGAGAGCTTGTTGCACAGCCCTCTTGTGCATAATTCGCTTTCCCAGGCTGCTGCGCATGGTAAAGCCCTTCCGTACCTGATGACCAAAATCGTTAGATAGGAAGTGCTGAAGACCATTCCAACTCCGAACTCAAAAGGTGAAGTAAAAGCTTGTGAGCAGTTGACAGTTTCTAACACTTTCCTTCAGACAAAAAAGTCAATTGAAAATGAATGTAAACAAAACAAACTCGAACTCAAAAGCTCATGAATAATGTTACTATAATCTCTAACAAAATCAGGTGTCAAACGAAGCATAGGAGAGTAGTAATTTGCCACAAAACATAATACCTGGTTTCTTATGCAAGTTATTGGCAGCGTCATAGTGTGTAGCATGGGCCACTTTTCTTTTTCTTTTCCTCTTTACCACGAAAACAATCAATATGGCAAGCAGGATAAAACCGAGCACTCCGGCCACAGCATAACCAATGTACTTTTCGGAATTACCACCGCTGCTGTTCCCTCTTGACGATGAGAGGGACATGGAGTCACTCGATGAACCACTTGAGTTTGTGGTGGAAGGTGAGTGCGGCAGCGGAGGAGGGCTCCACACCCTTGTTGGCGGAGCAAAGCTTGGCGTATTTGGCGGGGAAACGGCAACTGGAGGGGAAACAGTAGTTGAAGGAGGTGGTGAAGGGTTGCCGGTGGCTGATGAGTTATTTGGGGATCCTGGTGTCAGTGGTGTAGACGAGTTCTGCAGTTGAGGCGGAGATGAAGGTGAAGTTGGAGGCGAGGATGGAAGCGGAGAAGATTGATCAGGTGGAGGTGGGGGTCGTGATTGTGATGGAGGTGACGATGACTTAGGGGGAGGAGACGATGGCGGTGGAGACAGTTTAGGGGGAGGAGACGATGGCGGTGGCAACCGTTTAGAGGGAGGAGACGATGGTGGAGGTGGCGAAGACTGTGGTGGTGATGGAGGCGGCGAAGAAAGAGGGGACGAAGAAGGGGTTGGTCGTGGCGATGGAGGCGGACTTGCTGAAGGCGGTGAACCCGACGGCGGCGAAGTCGATGGAGGCGGAGATCTCGTACTATTGGATGACGAGGGAGAATCTGGCGATGGAGCCGCATCCTCGGTCAACAATCTAGAAGAAAACGAGATCCCGCTTGATTTCGAATTGGAACCAACGTTGAAGCTCCGGGAAGCCATTTCTGATTCAACGATCAGAAATTTCCCAACGCGATTCCCAAAACGACGGGCCAATCTAAATCTTCCTCGATTCTTCGACATCCATTCCAAGCAGAGGCAAACAGATCTGTAAATAAAGATTAAAAAAAAAAGCGAAACTATATTCCAATAAAAACAGTTCCTGTAGAACCAAAACTGGGTTTTGCAAATTAAAACAGAAAGAACAGCAAAAACAGAGCACAAAACTGATAAGTTGGCTGGAAAAGCAGCTGGAATTATGAAAACGAGAAGCCATTTGAGCAATGCAACTGAATCGTAAGCCCCGAAAAATTCTCGCATTTCTAAATATAAGAAGGCAGGGAGGATGTTTGTTTCATAATTTTGGCGCGTTTTTTTCTTGCTTCTTCTTCGAATCGCTCTCTGAAGTGTGTCGCAAGCCAAGTGGTCGCTCTTGCTTGTTTTATTTATTTATTTTTCAAATAAAATGCTTGGTTTGTTTTTATTTCCCTTCTCCTTAACTTTCGGGTTGCCGCGCAACTGATACTGGATCCAGCTTCCGAACCATAACGGTAAGATCCGACCCACCACACATATTCCCCCACTCGTAGTATAGCTATAATTTTACCCTACAGAACTGGACTATATTCAAACTCTCATTACTTATATAAATAACAAGAGTTCCTATTATTCGCAATAATTTTAATTAATAATAAAAAATATATTATATCTCAGTAGTATCAAACTAGACTTATATTTTAAAATGGGAGAGTGGTTGATAACTTCTATTTAAGGTGTGTTTGGATCAAAAGTTGTAAAATTGAAGTTAAAATAAATGTTTACAAACTGAAATTAGGGTAAAAGTCAATAATTTATATTTGCATAATTTTTTCTTAAAAGCTAGTTTGAAAAATAAAATCTTGTTTAGATGATAAAAATTCAAAAGTAAGTTTCGATGTATAACGATAGAAAAGAAAAGAATTCTATCATAAACATTTTTGTTTCTGCTTTGATTTTATAATAAAATAATTAAAATTTAAATTATAATTTTTTTAAAAATGAGTCTATATATAATAATTTATTATTTTATAAACTATAAAAAACATAAATAAATTAATAAAATATTAAATATTAAAAACTAAAATATATTGAAAATTCATCTGGCATGTTCCTCTTCTCTCTCGTTGGTTACAGCATATCAACCTCTCCCAGACAGAAGGGAACGGGGAGATCAGTTAATGTATAAAAGTAAATTTCTAAAGGAAAAAAAATTGATCCTTTAATATTTGAGAGTCAATCTATGGCATTTGGAAGTCTACATAGTACGTTTACAAGTGAATTTACATCATTTTATGAGAAATTCTTGCATGCATGGACCCAATGCATTATGTTATATATTCATACTCTGTTTAATAAAATTATACAATTTTAATTAAATAAAATCTTATGTTTTGTTGTTTGTTTATTAATGAATTTATTTTTATAATATAGTTCTTCTTTAATTTATCCTCTTTTCTCTATCTATCATCATCAATGACAAAACTAATTTATATTTATAACCATATGACATGGCTGATCTTTAATGAATAGAATGTGAATAATATGATATATTGGTTTTATGCAAAAATGTATCTAAGGTTCAGTTTGTTTTGGAAGTGAAACGTGATGGCTAATGAAGTTAATTAAAGAAACTTATTAAGCCAAGTCTCTTGGAAGAGGAGAGTATATAAATTTAGGCTACCCAATGATTTTAAGAAAATATATATATATAAATAAATATAACATCATATCTTAACTTAAAATATTAAGACATTGAGTCTGTGGATCTTTTTACTTATATTAAAGCTAAGGAAAATACAATCATCAGTTCATATAATTTTATCGGGTTTTGCTTTTAATCTTTAAAGTTTTTTTAGTATTATTAATCCTTATAATTTTAATAAAATTGAGTAACATTTGTCATTTAGATCCCTATAATTTTGGTGTTTTCAGTGTTTTGGTCTCTACAAGAACTAAAAATGTTAGAAAAAAACTATGAAAGCTAAAAGCCAAATTTAATAAAATTATAAAGACTAATAATTATATATTTCTTTTTCAACCTAACTCTATTTAATGTGGGATTTACTAAATTAAATTAACTTACACTTGACTTCCCAACAAATTAATAAGCCTTGGCTATATGTATTGTTTTTATTTTTGCAATTTTTATGTTAAAGGATGTCATAAATTGTGCATAAGCTATTAGGTTAATAAACTACCATGTTCAAAAAAATTTAACCATATGAGATGTTAATATCGTATAGTTATTTAGTTTCTAATTCTATATTATATGTGTTTTAAATTTCTGGAGTCTATTGTAATTTGTGCCCAAGGGATGTGGTATTGTGTATAAGGTTACATAATAATGTAATTATAGAACATTATTGTATAATTAATTATTGAATTTAAATTATATATTGTTGGCAGTGAACGACAGTGGAGAACGGGACATGCGTGGACGACAAATGCTTTGAACTTGCTCTTGAGTTGTATCCAGAGGACTGCTCAAACCGCTGGCTAAAGATCGTCAACTTGATCTCTGACCTATCGCCGGAATTGGTCCGCCGACGATTTCGTGAGATGGCCCATGATATGCCGCCGGAGCCTAAATTTCCGGTAAAGCCACCGGAACATAGTCGTGCCTAGGGCTAGAATATAAATACAGGCTCTTGGGCTCCAGCAGAACACATGCATGTGTTTTTTTTAAAAAAAAAAAATTCAATTCAGTTGGAATTTCTTTAGAGAGACTAAAAGAGAAAAGGAATGATAAATAGAAAGGTAAAAGAGTAAATAAAATTCAAAACTATAAGTTTAAGAGTGTATAAAATTTTAAACATATTTTTTATGTAATGTTTTCTTTTAATATTTAAAAACAGTACGATATGACCTTTACAATTAACAAGAGTTAATTTTAATCATTAATTAATTAAAAAATAATAGAAAATAATCTCAAAAATTAAAAAAATGATCAATAAAATTTTCTTGGCTCTTTTTGGTAATTTTTTGAATTCTTGATTGTAATTTGTGTATCTTTTATTGTAAATTTTTGGTCATTTTTTAAAATTTTTAAAATTTTTTTATGTTATTTTCTGATCAACTAACAATTAATATTAACTTTTGTTAATAATAAAAGTTATAACTATTTTTAAAAATTAAATAAAAATATTATATAAAAAATGAGTTTAAAATTTTGAACATTATAGTTTTGCGGTCAATTTGTTTTTTAACCATAGATAGGAAAAAAAAAATCAACGTACCCCTTACGCATCCGTTCTTTCTTTTTGCACTATTTTGGTTGAGTTGACTTGGAAAAACTTTGGTTGGGAATGAAAATGAAACCTTGTTTTCTTTTGGGTTATATTAATGTTGATAATTAATATTAATGTCCTAAAATGTATATTATTCAACAGGTAATTCTCGGAAGGATTGAAGAAATATGGGAAGGGAGATGGGATGAATATTTCCCAAAATTTTGTGGTAACAAGAACACATAACCAAGTATTTAGTTATGCTCAGAAATACTTCAAGCGTCTAAGCGATAAAGGCAATGAGAAGAAGAGAAAGAGATCAAGTATTCATGATATGACTCTTTCAAATCTTCCAATATTATCAACGCATTATCAATCCAACCTAATCTACAAAATTCTTCGAAAGATGAATCCATTGTATTTGGAAATCCAAATATATGCCTCTCCAATCTACAGACTCTTCTAAACCTCAACCTCAAGCCTCATAATAATCAAAACCACATTGTTTCTTCAAGTCTTCCAATATTGTCAACGCATGCACAAAATTCTTGGAATGATCGATCCCTTGGATTTGGAAATCCAAATATATTATCGGCACATCAATCTTAAGCAAACCCACAATGTAATATCTGGAATGATCAATCCCTTGGATTTGGAAATCCAAACAATGAATACCTCTCCAATTTACAGACCCTTGCAAATCCTCAGGACCAAGACTGTCAACTGATTGTTTTTTCAAATCTTCCAATGTCAGTGCATCAATCTCAATTTGACCATGAAAATTCCTGGAATGGTCAATCTCTTGGATTTGAAAATCCAAATAATGAATGCTGCTAGCAGATTGTTTCTTCCAGCCCTGCATTTCCAGCCCATCAGTCTCAACTTGAACTACAAAATTCAAGTAGATAGTACTGATCATTGATGGGCCTAGAAAAATCACGCAGTGGAGGCAAAGATTAAAACTAACATTAAAATTATTATTTATTTTAAAAAATATCATTTAAAATTTATTAAATTACATTGAAGGTGAGATTTATTAAAATTAAATACTAAAAATTACGCATGAAACATAAAATAATAATAACATAAAAATAATGTTTTCTTAATGTAAAGAGGAAGCAAAACTTTTATAGTAGTTGGAATCATGCTTTTTTATTATATAAAAATTATTTATCTCAAAAAATACATAGATAAGATCTTAATTAAATAAAATCTTTAGTTAAGACAAGTGGAAGTTTTTTTAGGGGGAAAATTACGTTATGTAGTGGATTTGAATATGTTGGATGTTGACTGGACTTGAAACTTGAATGTAAATGTTGCTGAAATTTTTGCCCCTTGTCCCCTTATTTGCTAATTAATCTTGTGTTTAGGGTTCCTGCGTTGGGTTAGATCGTATTTTGTGTTTAATTGCTTGATTGGTTGTTTTAATTGTCTAATTGGTTAATTAAGTGATTTGGGCATAATTTTCTAGAATTTAAATAGTCTAATTAACTTCTGGTTTATTGGGTTTAATAATCTTTAACAAGAATATGTAGGTTGGCTTAGTTTTGAGGTCTCTTGTTTAGGCTTAATTGCAGTGTACTTGTATGAAAGTGTTCTTAGGTATTTAAGTCCAATTGGAGACTTTGTTGTTTGAATTGTGTATTGGTCTTCCAAATGCCCATTTTAAAAGCCCACCGTAATGCTCTAAACAGCCCAACCCCCAACATAACAGATACCCATGCTCTTTTTCTTAAAAAAAAAAATTTTGAGTTAGGTTGTAGCAAAAAAAAAAAAATGAATTGGGGTATTAAAAAATTTAAGGGAAAACATAACTTTGAATTCCTACACCTTGCTCAAGTTTTGTTATAGATCTTTGTACTTTTTTTTTAATTCTACATTCTTGCATTTTTTTTTTTTGTATTCTAAATCTCTCTATGAGTGATATTGTAGGGACATAAAACATTTAAAAATAAAATTATAGGGACTTCAAACATTTAAAAAATACAGAAACCTATAACAAAACTCAAGTTAAATGTAAGAGTTCAAAGTTATGTTTTTTCTAAATCTTAAGTA